CCAGATATGAGGCTCAATGGACGGGCTCCAGTGAGCGGGGTAGATAAAGAAGGGGCGCACGCGACCGAGGGACGAGGGGGAGGAGGAGAAGAAGTAGGAGAAGGGAGGGAGGAGGAGGAGGAGGAGGAGGAGGAGCAGGAGGAGGGGAGGAGGGGGAGGAGAAGGAGGGGGAGGAGGAGGAGGAGGAGGAGGAGGAGGAGGAGGAGGAGGAGGAGGAGGAGGAGCGCACGCGACCGAGGGACGACGACGATGCCAGGTCCTCCAAGATGCGAAGCCCACGGGCCTCAGCGCCACCGCAGCTGCTTCAGCCGCGCAGCGGCGTGCCGTTGAATCCCAACGCCCCCCCTTCTAGGGGAGTAAATAAAAAAGCTAAATAAAGAAGGAGGCAGGGAGAATGGAGCAGCCAGGAGGGGGAAGAGGAGAGGGAGGAGGACAGGCAGGGTGCGCTCGCGCCGTATCTGCCACATCAAATTCCTTCTGCTCATCCCTTCCCCTTGCGCTGATGGTTTCTCAATCCGCGGGCGCGTGTCGCAGCGGACCTGGATCTCCCAAAAAGACCCCATCGTGAGATGCGTAACTGGAAAAGGGGAGCTGCGTACACGGGAGGTGGAGGAGGAGGAGGCAGAGGAGGAGGAGGAGGAGGAGGAGGAGGAGGAGGAGGAAGAGGAGGCGGATGAGCAGGAGGATAAGCAGGAGAAAAAAAGGAGGAGGATAAGGAAGGAGGAGGACGACGAGGACAATCAGCAGCAGCGGGAACTGGAGTGGAAGGAGCGGGAGGAGCAGAACGACCAGGTCAAGGCGGAGGAGAAGGAGGAGGGGGACGACAACGACGAGGAAGGATTCGGATCCAGAGAAGTGGCCCGCGCTGGGAAGAGAGCGCCACTCTGAACGACGGGGGCAGGGGCCTCTGAAGCTCTGTTGGGGCCATCGTGAGCCTTCTTGGGGCCGGCTTGGGCCGTCTTGAAGCCACCTTGAGCCGTCTTGAGGCCCCTGTGGACGCCGAGGAGGCCCGAGAGGCCAAGATAGTTGATGTCCCATCGGTGTTTGTGAGTTCTTGCACAGCTGACCGACTGGGTCGGCGACTCGGCGCGGGCTCAGGGGGAAGGCTGAGCGGGGGGGTGCTTTGGGATCTATAACGCCTCAATGTTTTGCCACTGGCCCTCCTCGACGTCCCGTGGCTGGGCCCTTACGTCGCACCCCCGCCCTGTCGAACTGCCGCACACACACACACACACACACGGAGGGGGCGGGATGCTCCCCGGCCACCTCCGGGGAAAATAGGAGAGTAATTGAAGGGGCCCTGGGACACACAACTAAATACACACAAATAAAAAGATTCCCCATACTTTCCCATATTTTCTGGGTTTCTGTCTTCCCCCCCACTGCCCATATTTTGCCATATTTTCCGGGGAATCGACGGTTCATTGTGTCTGTGTGTTGTTTCCCCTCCTGACACACACACACACACACACACGGAGGGGGCGGGATGCTCCCCGGCCATCTCCGGGGAAGATAGGAGAGTAATATTCAGATTGAGCAACTGTGGAGCAGGAGGAGCTACCTGCCCCGCCCACTGGAACCCGCTGAAAAGGCGTACAGCTGGCTCGCGTCGTGGCAACCGCCTTGGTTTCTGACACCGCGTGGATCGCTCAACCTTGAACGATCATGGCTTTCGGACAGCGCGGAACGCCCGACATCGGCCGATTCTGGGCCACAAGCGACGTCCAAGCTTGAACGCAACCGCGCTGCGGTCGCCGCCGCGTCGACACGATACAAACCTGCCGTCCGACGGTCACCGTGGCTAGCTGCCCGCTCTGTCCTATTCGCCAGTCTGAACTTCTGCAGTGCTTGGATAGACGAGCGCGTTCCACTACTCGCAAAGTAACTACTCGCAAATGGCCTGGATCCGCCACGAGGGATCTACGATAAATAACATCGAAGAAAACATGTGTTTTTCAAACGTTTGCGAGTAGGCACTTTGCGAGTAGTGGAAGGCGTTCGGTCATTAGAAGCTCGGACAAAGGAGATCCCCGCAACAGACTTGCTCTGCAGAGCGATCCACCTCTGCGGGGTGGAGGAGCGATCCTGGCCAGTCCAGGAAGCGAGTGTTAGGTCGAGCGTGTCCTCCTGCAGGCGGGTTTTGAAAGAGAAATGAATCATTCACTGCGTGGAGCTCCCCATATGTGCATCTATTTGCATGGACTGGGTGTGAGTGAGTCTGAGTATGAGTATGCTGAGTACGAGTCTGAGCACAAGTGAGTCTGGGACATCCTCGCAATCTGCCCCCCCTGGGGTGCGAAAGCCAGTGAGTCCGAGTATGAGAATAGTGAGTACGAGTCTAAGTCTGAATGAGTCTGAGTACGAGTGAGTTTGACTACGAGTGAATATGAGGGCGGGTGGGTCTGAGTGTGAGTGATTCTGAGCGTGAGTAAATCTGAATGTGCGTGCGTCTGAGTATGAGTATGATGGATAGAAACTGGCCCTGAGTGGGTCTGAGTACGAGTGAGTCTGACTACGAATGAGTCTGAGGGTGGGTGGGTCTAAGTGTGAGTGAGTCTGAGTGTGCGTAAGTCTGTATCTGAGTGAGTCTGAGTATAAGTATGCTGAGTGCGAGTCTGAGTATGAGTGAGCCTGAGCACGAGTGAGTTTGAGCATAAGTGAGTCCAGGACATCCTCGCAATCTGGGCCCTCTGGGAGTGCGGAAATCAGCGCCTCGCCATAGACATCATCAGAATCTGCTTTGACAGCAGACGAGGCTGACCACCAAAACACGCAAACCGCTTGAGACATTCTCGAATTCTGGCCGCCCTGGGGTGCGAAAACCAGCGACTCGCCTGAGACATCCTCAGAAACTGCTTCAAAAGCGGAGGATGTTCGCAACCAAAACAGGCAACCCGCCTGAGACATCCCCACAATTTGGGCGCGAACGGAGGCCGTGCAAAACCCCTGGCGGCCCCCCCTTAGGAGTGCTAAAACCAGCAAGCCGCTCGAGACATCCTCATCATCTGCTCATCGTCATCATCATCATCATCATCATCATCATCATCATCATCATCATCATCAGCAGCAGCAGCAGCAGCAGCATCAGCATCATCAACCAAATCATCATCATCAACATCATCATCAACATCATCATCTTCATCACCACCACCACCACCATCATCATCATCATCATCATCATCATCATCATCATCATCATCATCATCATCATCATCATCATCATCCATCATCCATCATCCATCATCCATCATCCATCATCACCATCATACTCACATCATACTCTCACCATACCATGGTCATCATCATGACAATCATCATTGTCTAAGGCAGAAGAGGGAGGAGGGGAGGGGTGGTCCGGGGCGGTCGGATAATAACAAGAACCCCATCCTTGGATATGGGGAACAATAGTTACAAAAAGTATTCAAGCATGGTCCAAACATGATCCCAAAAATCGTCCCCCGGCTTTCTTTTGACCGTCTTTGCATTGTCCTCCTTGAGAGGGACCTGCCCGACGTAAAACAAGTGCCAGGTATCAGGGGCCCAGCCAACCTCAAGTCGGGCGAGTCCCCCTACAGGGGGATTTTCGACGAAAAAAAATACTCCTAAAATATTCCAAAATGGTCAAACAAATACTCAAAAAATGGTCCCCTGACTATTTTTTTGACTACTTTTGACCATCCCCCCTGTAGAGGGACAGGCCCGACTTAAGCCTGAATTGAGGTTCCTCCCAGGGGAGAAGAGGAGGATATGAGGAGGAATCGGAGCCGAACCTGGAAGCGCGATGCGCGAATAACTTCGCGCCCTCGAGGGCGCCCTTGGAATCGGGGGCCCAGCCAACCCCTGCCGCCGCGAGCGGGGCCGTCAGGGTGCTGATCTTCGTCTTTCCCCCTACTTCCCATATTTTCTGGGTTTTCGTCTTTCCCCCTACTTCCCATATTCTCCCATATCTTCCTGGGAGTCGACGGTCAATTGTGTCTGTGTGTTTCTTTCCCTCCTGAAGCCAACCCCTGCCGCCGCGCGCGGGGCCGTCAGGGTGCTGATCTTCGTCTCCGCCGCGGAGATGCTGGTCGTGAGGTCGCCGGTGCCAGTCTCGGGGGCGGAGGACCGAGGGGCTCTGAGGTCCGAGCGTTGCATGATCTTTCTGGAGAAACAAACGAACTGGTAAACAACAAAAAAAGAATGGACAAATAATTCCAAAAATGGAGAAACAAATGGGAAAAATGAAAAAATGGAAACAAACAAAATGGGAAGAAACAACAACAACAACAACGACAACAACAACAACAACAACAACAACAACAACAACAACAACAACAACAACAAAAAAAAAACTGTCGGCGCTCCGCGCGGTTTTCTTTGATCTGGCCTGAGCCCCCCTCCCTGGCGCGCGGAGCGCACCAGGGGCGGCGCCGGAGGCGCCGCCGGGGGGGGGGCCAGCGCGGAACCAAGAAATCCGCGCGGAGCGCCAAAACTTTGTTTATGGCGTTTGTTCTTCTTCTTCGTTCGCACTGGGCGTTTCCGCCGAGCTGCGGGCCCGCGGACACTCACAGATCGATCTGGCACGAGGGTTGCCACAGAATAGAAAGATGCGGTCCAGGGCTCTGGCCGTGTCTTTTGCACGGTGCTGCAAAATTTCTTCGCGATGTCGGGCCTCATGACCGTTTGGCCATTTTGACCATTCCGGTCAAGGTTACCGCAGGCCGGGGGCAGGGGAGCCCAAAATCGAATCGACAAGTGGGATCGGCGATCGACATGAATCGGATCGCAGGGAATCGGCAGCCCAGTCGGGAAAAGTCGAATCGGCAGACATCGGCTGGCTATCAAACTATTGAGCCTCCGTTGGGAAATCGGAGCCCACATCGGAATCCGAAATCGAGCCGAATCGGAATCGGAAGCAATCGAACTCGAAATCGAATCAAATCGGAGGAGTCTATAAGCGAGCCCTGCGGGGGTCACGCCCGCTTGCAGCTTGCACGCCCTGGCTGCCCCGGCCAGGCCGCCGCCTCGTGACTCGGCGGCGAGCGACGGGGGGAAGTCCAAAGGGGCGGGCCTTCTCAGCAAGCTCGGTCCCCCAGCCTTCTGAGAAGCTCTCTCTGAGCCTTCCCCGGAGGGACAACAAAAAACTTCTCCGAAGGCGCGAGGGCTGCTGAGAAGTCCCGCCGCCTTCTGAGAAGGCATTCTCCTTCTCACTTCCCCCCCTCGCTCGCCGCCGAGTTGATTATCACCAGCGCAGAGAAGCAGATACGCAAAGCAATCACCTCGACGCCCACCCGGTGACGTCATCGGCACGTCGGCCGAGCGAGGGCCTGACGGGAGCGGGGCGGGGCGCCGGTCAAAGGCGGCCCTGCGAGTGCACGGCGGCTGGGCCGGAGCCGGAGATACGTGTTGGACCCCTGTGCGAGCAGTGAGCAGAAGAGCACGTGGAGGAGGAGGGAGGGCGACGACGACGACAGCGAAGAGCAAGGCACAGTACGGCTTGGCAGAAGACCAGAACTGCGGAGGAGGCCGGCAAAACGCCCACGCATAGGTGCCAGCATGCACAGGGGGAGAGGGAGGAGGGGGAGGAGGAGCAGGAGGAGGAGATGGAGGAGGAGGAGCAGGAGCAGGAGGAGGAGGAGGAGCAGGAGGAGTGGGAGGAGGAGGAGGAGGAGGAGGAAGAGGAGCAGGAGGAGGAAGAGGAGCAGGAGGAGGAGGAGGAGGACGAGGAGGAGGAGGGAGGAGGAGGAGGAGGAGGAGGAGGAGGAGGAGGAGTGGGAGGAAGATGACGGGGGCCCCTCTGTGGACGAGCTGGGCGCTGGGCCGTCGCCCAGCCGGCAGCCCCGAGCCGGTGCTCGGCCGGGCGAGCCCCCACGAGGAGCACGAGGCAGCCGCCCGTCCCGGGTCCCCCCCTGGCATGCCGCGGTCGCACGCGCGTGCCTCCGCTGGAGGGGCGGGGGGGGGATCGTGGAGAGGACGGAGGTGCAGGGTAGAGGTAAGCATAGAGGATATAGAGGGATCGAGAGAGGGAAGGGAGGAGGGAGGTGGGTGGAGGTGGGGAAGCGGAGGGGGGGAGCACGGAGGAGGTGGAGGAGGTGGAAGGAAGGAAGGAGGAGGAGAAGGTGGAGGGAAGGATGGACCTTGTTCGACGTGCTGAGCTCGTTTCGGGCTCCTGGGTGCCTGTGGAAGCCTGAGCGGAGTTCCAGGGACCCGCGACACCCCGTGGCATTCTGCATCCGCCGACCCCGCTTGCCTGGGGTGAAAGCGCGTATGAGATGACTGACTGTCCCCTTGCGTCGACAGTGCCACGTGGGGGGGGGACGGTGGGAGGACCCTGGCTCCTGAAGGCCCCTCCCCCGGAGCATCTCCAGAGTCCAAAGAGACGCCTCAAGACGACCCAAGACAGCCCAAGCGAAACGCCAAGACAGTCCAAGAAAGCATCGAGATGGCCCCCGGTGGCCCCACGGTGATCCAAGCAGGCTTCGAGACGGCCCACGAAGCGCCCAAGACGGCAAAAGAGTGCTCCCAGAGGACCGCCCAGAAGGCCCCAAGAAGCGAAAATCATAGCACCTCCCGTGTGGGAAACGTACATGTTCAGCGTACTCGCCTCTTTGCATCTGGAGAACGTCCACGACGACCCAAGCAGCTCGGTCGTCCCGAATTCGCCCGGGGCTTCCAAGAGAGGCCAAAGAGGGGCAGTCCGAACTGACACTCCGAGCCTCTCCCCCCCAAAAAAAGGCGCCCACGAGCCCCCCAGGAGGCCTCTCTAGCCGCCCCCACGAGGCCCCAACGAGCCCTCCAACAGGCCCCCAAGAGACCCCCGAGAGGCACCAATAGCCCAACCTTCTCGAGCGAGCAATACCAGGGCAGAACCACGCCGCGCGTGGCCCAGCTGGGCAGCGCGCCGATGCAGGGTCATGGCAAGATCGCAGCTCCGTGATACGCCGTGGCATTATCGAACAGAAAGGGAAGGGGAGACCAAAGAGAGCGCGGTCGTCGCTTCGGCGTCGAGCGCGGGGGGAAACGAGAAGGAGAAGGCCTTCTCGGAAGGCGGCGGGACTTCTCAGCAGCCCTCGCGCCGTCTGAAAATATTGCTGTTCTTCTTCGGGGAAGGCGTAAAATACTTCTCGGAAGACCTGGGGGGTTCTGAGCCTTCCGAGCCTTCTCCTTCTCACTTCCCCCCCCCCTCGCTCGCCACCGATGGCTGCTTCCCCGAGGTTCTTTCGGATTGCATTCAAATGCCTTTTGGTCGACACAAAAGGGGGTCAAGCTGAAAGGGGGCGGCGCAATAGATTTGGGGCAATTGTGTTGGAAACGTACTGCGCTGGGGAATTGTCTTGCATTGTGTTGTGACGAATGTCTTGCAGGCGAAAATCAAGCGATACATTCGTGCCCCGGAATGTAGTGCACGCCCCGAGCGTATTGCAGCCCCACATATCTAGTGCACCGAACACATTGCGCCACCCCCTGGTCGCTGGACCCCTTTTCGTGAGAGGGATGAGCGAGCAAGCCGGCCAGTCGGCAGATGCCCACCCCCCTGTGGAGTGGCGCCTGCACCCGGGCACCTGGCCGCAGGACACTCCACGGAGACGCGTGCGCCTCGAGGGCCACGCACAGAGAGGTGAGAGGAGAGGACAACTGCGAGGATAACTGCGGGCGTCCCCCTGAGGACAACTAAGAGGACAACCAAGAGGACAACTAGGAGGATAACCAAGAGGACAACCAAGAGGACCACTAAGAGGACAACTAAGAGGACAACTAAGAGGACCACCAAGAGGACAACCAAGAGGACCACTAAGAGGACCACTGAGAGGACAACTAAGAGGACAACTAAGAGGACAACTAAGAGGACAACTAAGAGGACAACCAAGAGGCGTGGCCTGAGGCATCTTCCGCACCTGTTGGGTCAGCTCGATGCACTTCGGAAGGTCTCGGCGGTCTCCGTTCTGTGCAGCCTTCGGAGGCCTCCGGCCTGGCACTCTCCCGCCGCCCCGCGAGCACAGTCACGGGCACGCCGAGCGAGAGGACGCCAGCGCCGCTATTCGTCCCTCGTCGGCGCGCCACCGTGGCCAGCGCCTGAAGGGGCCCTGGGACACACGAATAGATACACACAAATAAAATGGTTCCCCATATTCTCCCACATGTTCTGGGTGTTTGTCTCCCCCCCGCCTCCCATATTTGTCCCATGTTTTCTAGGGAATCGACGATTAATTGTGTCTGTTTTCTTCCCTCCTGAGCGTCGTGAAACAACAGGCAAAAAATCGGATCGGGTCGTAACGGGCTGCATCGGTGCGGAGTCGAAACGAACCGGACAAGCTGCGCCAAGATGCACAGCACCACCACGCAAGCGTCGGGCCACATCAGATCATCGGAAGACGTGTCGAATCGAGCCAGCCAGGATCACATCAGATCGAATCGACCGGATCGAAATCTGTACAAGTGGGGAGCGACCTGGGCCACGCCCCATTTCTCCTCCTCGTCGAAGCGTTCGTTCTCGAACTCCTGCGTCTTCCCGTCCTCCACCTCCTCCTCCTCCTCGTCCTCCTCCTCCTCCTCCTCATCCACGTCCGCCCCCCACGCTCGCTGGCCCGGGAGCATTCCTGGACGGACCTAACAAAAAAAACTCCCGGGCGCGCGGCGGCACCTTGCAGTAGCACATGAACTTGTCGAAGAGATCCTGGCGCGCGCACTCGGCGGGGCTGAGCGGAAGGGTGGGGGGGAGAGAGAAGTGGCGTCGGGGAGGAGAAACCAGTGGGCGTGGGCGCGGAGGCCCTGTCCGTGACAGCGACCCACGGCACGAAGGTACCCCTCGAGCGAACCGCAGCCACTGGGGGTCGCATTCCACGAACACGACAGCCTGCAGCGCCCTCACAGCGGGCTCTGCCTCACCTCGGGCATGCTAAGCCGAGGGGGACGGCACTGAAAAAACACATCGAGCGAGGGGCCCGCGAGGCTCCAGAGGCCGCCCAGGCGCTGAGGCGGAGGACGAGGAGGACGAGGAGGAGCGGCGGCGCGACGAGCCGGGCAGGCAGAGCAAGGCGGCGGCGATGGTGGCGAAGCGCCCGGTGATGCGGCCGTGCGGCCGATGGAGGGGGGGTGGAAGGGCGACAACGCGGAGGGGGGGAGGCGGAGGGCCGAAGACCAGCGAGGGAGGATCCTCCTCCTCCTCCTCCTCCTCCTCCTCCTCCTCCTCCTCTCCTCCTCCTCCTCCTCCTCCTCCTCCCTCCTCCCTCCTCCTCCTCCTCCCTCCTCCTCCTCCTCCTCCTCCTCCTCCTCCTCCTCCTCCTCCTCCTCCTCCTCCTCCTCCTCCTCCTCCTCCTCCTCCTTTTCCTTCCTCCTCCTCCCAGAAAACCGGGGGGGGAGAACGAGAGAACGAACGACCGTCATCGCCCGAAGGCGGCCCAATGCTGGGCGATGGGCGCGCTGCGAAGCGCGCTGGCCCTCTGAAAAGGACCGGGGAAAGGCAATCACAAACCCGCAATTCGGTGCGCGAGCAGGAGGGGTGAGGACAGGAGAAGCAAGAAAAAAACAGACGGGGGGAAGAGGGGGGAAGAAAGACGGAGGAGGCGAACAAGAAGGAAGGAGAAAGGAGAAAGGAAACGGACAGGCTATGCACGTTCGCGCCACGTCCGACGTCCGACCCCTCCCTTTTTCCATCGAAACAACAGGGGAAGGCGTGCGATCGAAAAGGAGGAGGACGGTGACGACGAGGAACGGTTCAAGCACAAAAATGTGGCGCGCGCTGGGGCGAGCACGAATCTGAACGACGGGAACAAAGCTCCGATCATGGAATGCATGCGACCAGCGCTGCAGCGGGAGCCGGTTTTTTTTGATGAAAGGCCGAAGCCAAGCCGATCGGAAAAAATAGGTGCACCAAAAGCATTACGATGACGAAAGACACAACCAAATGCAGTTACGAATATCGTCGCTGTGGGTATCGCCTTCGGTGGAGCCGCGCATGGGGCCGCGAAACATGCAGCCACTGGGGCCGTCGGTGGAGCTCCCCGTGGGCAAAAACTACACGCGAACGCAGCACAGGAGGCCCTTCGGTGGAGCTCCCTGTGGGCCCCTGGGGCCATGAGGCATGTGAGGAGCGTACCGAGAGGGGGGGTCGAACCGCATGTAAACGCAGTCACTAAGGCTTTGGGTGGAGTTCCCGATGGGTCCACAAAACGTGTGAGGGGTGTGCCAACATGGAGGTCAGAACTACATGCGAACGTAGCCGCTGGGGCCTTCGGCGGAGCCCCCGATTGAAAAATATAGATCCCAAAATCCCTCCCACCAGTACTTGATGCAAGCAAAAGATAAAAAGGAAATAAACTCCTTTTATTTTATATCCGCACTCAAACCACACGCGAGTAGGCGCGCCCACCCCCCCGCCCAGGTCGTGGGCCGCAACGGTTGCGGGCGAGAGGGGCACTGCACAAAGCATGAGCGAGCGAGCGAGAACAGCAACAGCAGAGATAATTATCATTACCACCCCAAATATCGCAGTCCTGCCTACCTGATTTTCACACAGGACAAAAAGAAACGTTGCTAAAGAATGAATAGCAAATTATGAAGCAAACTTCTGTCCTTGCCACTCTTGATGCGCATCGGCCCCAGCGTAGTCAGGCTCAGGAGAGCACTATCCCCGAAGTAGATCTGACCATCCTGCGTGATCTCGTCGGCGTACGTCTCCGTCTCGGGCTCAGCCTTCAGACGCAGCGTAGCCGTCTTGGGCTTCGCCGGTTTGCTGGGCAACCCCGCCCTGAAAAGGTTGTCGCTGCTTGAACTATCCACCTCCATCGGTTCCATGCCGAAGTCCTCGTCGTCGCTCTGGTTAGGCTGCATTATGTAGATGAACACCATGATTCCCGCGATGATACCGACTAATGTCCCCACCGTGGGAGACATCGAAAAAACAAACTCCGTGCACTGCGAATGTGTAGAGGCAAAGCAGAACTGCAACTTGGTCAGATATCTGGATGGTCCGCTGCGCGCCACTCCTTTCCACTAGGTAGTTGTCCGTCGCATCGTCCATGCAGAATGCTTTGACATACTCGGTCTCGTCATAAGTCTCGCCCATCTCGTCGTAGAAGCACCGGTCCACGTAGTTGTACGTCTCCACCGGCCAGGTAGATATCTCATCGTTCCCCTCGGTGTCGTCGCACATCTCCTGCTTGACGTACTTGGCCATCCTCGCGTTCAGGTCGTCGACCTCCTTGTTGGCTGCTACCTTCTCTGGTCCAACTAACTTCCGCCCGCGCATCGATGGCGCTCTGTCATCAGGCCCAAGAGCCCACAAGTTGGATGTCACAATCTTCCTCTCGGAGCCTCCTGGAGGCACTTTCGTCGAACAGTCCGCTAGCATCTGCTCGCTCATAACCCACTTGATGCTGACCTCCTGTAGTGACTGGCGTAGTATAGCCGCCTCTAGAGAAAGACTCCCATCTGCCATGAATACCTTCTCCTTCGTGATCGTGTCATACAGGCCCTTGCAGTCAGTCCCCGAAATGCATGTCACCAGGCAGGTGTCACGCACGATCTCGGCCGCATCCATCTCTGGGGACAGGATCTCCGCCAGGGTTGACCTTGTCCAAATCAGCATATCCATCGAATCTGGACATGAGCATGCCTCCGACGATAGAGTAGATCGCACCACACGATGCATCTTTGAGGGCAGCCACCCAATGCAATGTACCTTGTACTCGTCGCCGTGGTCCTCGTTGATCTTCTCGTCACCTAACATGATAAAGTGTCCTCGTTGCGATCTGTGCTACGGCAGGTTGTCAAAAGCACTGTCGGTCACGTTGATCACCATGGTCTTCCACAGGTTCAGGCCAGCTGTAAACTCGATCCGAAAATCGCCCCGCTTCTGGATGATCCTAATAGCTGATTCCCCGCCCTGTAGGTCCTTCACCGTCGGAGCTCCCAGCGTCGATGCCAATCGGGATGCTTCGAAAGCCTGTTCGAAGCAAATCATTCGCGCAGCCCACTGCAGTTGCCCAACCACCATTCGTACTCCCGGATGTTCTGCAAGGGCAAGTGCACTGTCAGGTGCCTTGCTGCGCTCCCTGGAGACACGCACAGCCTGCACAGACTTCACGTAGGCCTCCACGGTGACGTTGATGCTGCCGTCCTTGTCCTGCTGGTAGGCCTGGCCACAGAAAGTCGCCTTCTCCTTCCTCGCGTACTTGTCCTCGCCAAAATCGATACCCTTGTGAAGGTCCTTCATGATCTTGGCGCCCTCAGGGTCGTCCTGCTGGATGTCCATGAAGACGTCGTCCACGCGTAGACACATGATCCCGATGATCGTGTTCTCCGCGTTGCGCTTGATGAAGGTCGCGGGCTCGAAGCTCAGGCCTTCCCACCCAGGCTTCACGAGCGTCTCGCGCAGCTCCAAGAACCAAGCTGCTGCCGCATCGTTGGTCCCGTAGATGCTCTTGTTAAGCTTCAGCAGGTCGTCTGCCTTAACGCCTGGGGCGGTGCACTTCCCAAGGTTCGCTGGGATCCGAAAGTAGAGCTCGCGCGAGGTCGCCCTGTCGAAAGGCCCCCTTCATGTCTGCGACGACTAGGTCCAAGTTGAGGCTTGACACGATGCTGGACAGAAGTAGCGGCGTCATCTGTGCTGCGACTGTAGGAGAGTCTCGGCGCAGCTTGTCGTCGAACCTCTCCTTGTATCCTCGTCCACATACTCTCGCCTTCGGCTCAAAGGTAGCAGGGTCCTTGTCCGTCCAGACCACCTTGGAGCTTAGGATCTTGTCTGGATCTATAGTACCAACCGCTGCTCCTGATATGTGGGTTGCTGCATCGTACTTGCACCAAGTGTCCCACTCCTTCTCCACTGCACCCTGCATCTTCTTCCATATGAGCTTGTCGTCGCCCAGCGTCTTCAGGTTGATCTCCTGATACTTGTTGGCATCCGTCGGCCGGGTGCACATCCGCTCGGCCACGAATGCTTCAACAAGGAGTGGTGTTTCTGGCAGCTGCTTGACTGGTCTCGTTTGCTTGATGCCGATGGGTACATCGCCCAGCAGGAACTCCTTGGGCGTCACGGGATGCTCCTGGCGCTCGCTGCCCTGATGCTGGTCCGGCTGTCTAGTACTCGTTGTTGTCGTCCCTTGCTGATCTTGCGGAGCTGGCGTCGGTGCCGCTGCCGTCTCCTCTGCCTTCTTGCGCTCCTCCATACGCCTCTGGATACTGACAAGTACATGGAGCTCAGCTCGGTCGTCGTGAGCATCGGTCTTCTTGGTCTTCAGGTCCTTCTTGACCGAATTGTTTCTTACAACCACGTTTCACACATCCCTGGGCTGCCCCGGCCCCTCCAGGATCTCGTCAGCGTTGCCTCCACTTGGAGATCCAGGCTGCGAGGCTGCAGGTTGTTGGTCACCTCCCGGTCCATCTTGAATTCCTTCTTCTTTTCTCGATGCGATCTTCTCGATCACCGCGATCGGTTGCTGCGCCACCACATCGTCGAGAATATGAGGTTAGCTACCCAGTCCCCCCACGAGATGCCTTGAATCAGGTCGCGCGTGTCCAACTTGAACAGCCACCTCCTCTCGATCTGATACCCTGGTGCCAGTTCGGGTAGTAGAGCTGCATTCCTGATGCTGTCCAGTTGCCTCAGGTCGGTCTTACCCTGGCAACTAAATGCCACTGCCCCCAAGATGGTGTCCCAGGCTTGGCGTGCTCGAC